AAATTGAATTGCATAAAATGTTGCTTCTTTGTAGAAAATTAATTGAGCATATATGTCTTGGTGAAATTTCGAATTCTATTATATATGTACATTTATATCATGATTGATGTATAATCAATCCTTATACTTTCACCACTATATTTGCATTAAAAATATTGACAAGCTAAGCATAGTGGTACATGCCTGTAATATCTACACTCAGGAGGCTGAAGCAGGAGAATTTCAGGCCAGCCTGGGTGACAGAGCAAGACACTGTCTTCAAAAAAAAAAAAAATACACTGGCACTTGTTAACCCCCAGTTAGTAATACTGTGGAGCATATGGAACTCATATGAATTACTCATGCTAATGTCAACTGGAAATTCCATTTTGGAAAACTTGTACTATCTACTAAAGCTAAGTGTATGTGTTCCTAGTGACCTAGAAATTTATTCCTAGGTATATACTCAAAGGGAATGCTACATTCAGGGACCAAATATATATTCAATGCTCATTAAGGCCAAAAGCTGGAAACAATTCAAATGTCCATCAGCAAAGAATAAAATAAAGTGAATGAACTACTGTCTGGTAAGGTCTCACAGACGTGTAACACTGAGCAAAAGTCAGACTCAAGATAACAATCTGTATGATCTCATAAAATTCACAAAGAAACTGTAGCAACCTATAGCATTAGAAGTAAAAGTTATGGTTTCCTTTGAGATAAGAATGTTGTACCTAGCTGGAGCACAGGGGCTGCTTTTGGAGTTTTAGTAATGTTTTCTTCCTTAATAAGGATGGAGGTTACATGATTATGCTCACTATGCAAAAATTGATTGAGTTATTCACAATAATGTATGCACTTTCCTGTATATATGTTAATCCTCAATAAAACATTAAGCAGCTTTAGTTTGGGTGGGTCTTAGAGGTACTGTCTATAGACTGTAGGAGAGTAGTGCCTACACAAAGTTAGTATGTATGCCCTAGGTAAAACATGCAATCCAGATATTATAAACAATGCTTAACCAATTTTTATGTAATTATGTTAATAATTTAAAACGTTTACATGAAATGTTCAATTTAATATCCTGCCACTGTATAATAAGCACCTGGGTAAACTATAAGATCAAGAGTAACTATAAGTAATCTCCTATAATGGAAACCACCTTTGCTGAATCTCTCCACCTCTATCATTGTATTACCTGTAATTTCACTATCCATCCCTTAGATGACTGGTGTCCCACCCTCCATAGGCAAGTTCTTCAGTTAAGCTAAATGCCCACATTATTTATTACTTTGAGTCTTTAAGGCCACTGAAAGCAATAAATCAGAATAAAACAGACTCTCACAGTAAAGCTACATAAATTACACTGTCTTAATTAGAAAGAAATTTTCTAAATTAGTCTCTAAATTTTTCTTGAAAAGTAGTTCAATAAATATATAAATAAAACTATCCTCTACTTCCAATAGTTTTTAACTTTTCAAATGCTTTAAATTTGTTAGTTGTGCATCATTAGTCTTTCACATTATACCACTGGTCAAAGCCCTTTAAAACAAGGGCAGGAACTATTTAAAATATGTTTGCAGTATCACACAGAAGTGATTAGATCAGAACCCATCCTCCAGAAAATTCAATTCTACCACTAAGCTTAAATTCCTTCCAAGTTTTAGGAACAATGCTCTCACTGTCACCCCTTCTGCTCTCCATGGAATAACACTGGCTGTTCCTCCCAGAACCATGTGCCATTTCACTGCTTTCCTCCTACACTACAGTGGCAGTTTGTCAAAAGAACTGGTGTAATGCACTTGCTGATCTTTAACACAATGTATCTATTATATATACAGCATATAACATGTATATGTATTTCATACATGAATACAATGAAGATTTTGCTGCATAATTCTAGAATCCAGACTTCTCTGAGAATCTCTTTAACTTTTATTGGGCTAAAATGGCTAATTTATTTTTAAAACAAAAGCAAATACCTTCTCATGACAATTATTGTTCTCATGTAAGAATGACAAATGTCTTACATATTTATTACCAGACAGTATGTGGAAACTATGTTGTCAAATAATCACAATTTCAGAGAGAAACAGTATCAGAATAGTGCTCATATTCCTTACAAAGGCTCAGCAGTGAAACTGTAATTATGAGATAATTTTTCATAAAAGCCAAGGTAAAAACTTTACCAAGTTTTATAATATGAAGTGATAAAATGGTAATTTGATTTTTTATTTATTTAACAAACATTAACCAAGTATCTCCTATGTGTCAGATATTGTAAATCAAAAAAGACCTGGTACCTGCTACCCTCAAAGCATTAAGAGTCTAGATTTACTAAATAAGTAAATCAATGTTTACTCTATGGGGTTGTTAGTCTATGAAAGAGATTGTGAGTCTATAAGAACACAGAAAAGCAGTCTTCGGAGGTTAGGAAGCGCTTCCTGGAAAAGACGACCTGAGCTGAGCTTTGCTACAGAAGGAAAGATTGGCAATCTTGAATGAGAAGGGCAATCAAGATGAAGAGAATATCTGGTAACAGAGGGACAGAGGCATGAAGCAACATTTACCGCAAACATCTACTAATAAAAAATAAAAACAGCCGGCATAGTGCCACACACCTGTAATCCCAGCACTTGGGAGGCTGAGGCGAGAGGATCACTGTGAGTTCGAGACCAGCCTGAGCTACATAGTGAGTTCCAGGTCAGTCTCAACTTACATAGTGAGACCCTGTCTCAAAAACACAACAACAAAAAATAAAAAATAAAAAATAAAAACAAAAGAAATTAAAACTTTGAATCCCCCTTATCCTGCAATAGCCACTAAAGAGAATTTTAAATAGAAAGGGAAAATGATAATTTCATTTTTAAAAAAACACACTATTTGGCTTTGGGGCAAAGCTAATGCCATCATTCTGAATTAAGAAAATAATGTTAAAGATCAACAGATGCTGAGAAACACAAGGAGATAAAATATACCGGACTGAGAACTAACTGAAAGGGAGGTAGAATGGGAAGGAAGTGACTTGATGCATAAGAAGAAGAGGTAGCAGGAGAGAGCTGGGAACAGCCAGGAGCAGAGAGCACGACGGGTTCATTTCAAATGATCTTGTGACTTATATTTTCTAGGAAAGGTCTGAAGAATCCCTTTAAAATATAAAATATATAGCAAGGGTAAGAAAAATGGCATGGGGGCTCCTGAGGAAATTAAAAGTAGAACTGCCATACAATTCACATCCAGTGCAGTGACGTGCAAACAACCTAAATGTACCAAGAGATGGACAGAAGAAGACTCTGAAGTATTATATACATACATGTATATATATATATATATATACATACACACTGAAATATTAATCTTGAAAAAGAAGAGACCCTGACACTCGCTATGACAAACCTGGAAGACATTACGCTATGTGAAATAACATGAGCACAGGAAAATATTGCACAAGTCCACTTGTATATGAAATCTAAAAAAAGAAAAGGAAGACCTGAAGAAGATAAAAATAGAGGTAGAGAATAAAACTGTGATTAATGTGGGCTAGGAAGAAAATGAGAAGGAATGAGCAGATGTAGGCCAAATGATGCCAAGTAGTAGCTATAAACTGGGCATAGTGTGCACACCTATAATCTCAACACTGAAGGAGGCCGAGGTAGGAAGATCACAAGTCTGAGTCCCACCTAGACTACTCAGTGAGACACTCTTTCAAAATAAAAAACAAAAATTTAAAAGTCTGGGGATGTATCTCAATGACAAGGCACCCTGGTTTCTAACCCCAGTACCACGAAAAATAAAAGTTAAAAAGTAGCAGATATGTAAGATAAACCAGTCTAGAAATCTAATGTATAACATGAAATTTATAATTAATAACATTGCATTGGTAATTTTGTAAAATTTTAGCTTCTCCTGCCACCAAAAAAAGTAACTATGTGAGAAGATTGATATGTTAATGTTTCACTACGGTGATGTGTTTCACCATTTCACTTATAACGTCAGGTCAAGTAAGTATACCAAGTAAACTTTATTTTTAAAAATAAATGTTAAAATTAAAATTTCAAGAATATATTAAAAAAATCACCTGTATCATACATTCCACCTAACATTTATTGTGCTTTTATGTTCACTGTAATTATTTAGAAAAGACTTTTTCTAAATTTCTTAAAGGTATGTCAAAGGCAGTGAAAAGGAAATATTTGGACATCTCAAGCCTCTTTTATGAAGCTGGAGGAAAATTCAACTTCTTTCCCTCCCAAAATAATAATTTGCATCAAGCTAGTGTATATAAAATGTTTTCTATTGATCAGGTTTTTAAATATCTTGCAGATGAGCCTTACATTCATAGAAAATCGTATTGTCTAAAAGGGGTGGAGGGGTGGAAGGGAGAGAGGGGAATGGGAAGTAACAAGAACCAAAATAGACCATGTACAGGTACCAAGACCCAATGATGAACGCAATCACAATGTATATCTGAAGTGTACCAATAAATTGAATGAATAAAAATATTGTACGATCATAAGTAAAGATATCAAAAGGTGAAATATATGCTATCAGTATGCAATATTAACAAAGGAGCAAATGGGTTATGAATAGTTTACCCAAAGCATTGAAAAAAAGTTCAGTAAATTTAAACCTCCAAAAAATTGAAAAATAAAAAATGTACTGAGGCAGATCTGAAACTTCTATCTCCCAACTGTTTATGAAAACATTATAATTTATTTATGTATGGGAAAATGTGTCTTCAGCTTCATTAGTCTTCTCTTTGTTTGTTGTAGATAAGTTATGGCATGGTGGGGGCAAAGTTGTCTGCAGGGACAGAGCAAATAAAGAAAAGAGCCAGGACTGGGACACTGAGCCTAGGAGCTGTCTAATGAGCCACTCTGCCTCCCACAGCTAGCTCTTCACAGCTCTGTGAAAGACTAATAAACTCAAGCCAACAGAAGCAAAACACTCACAAATCTAAGTCAGTAATTCACACCCTGAGGATATGCAGTTTACTCCTGTCTGGGGGCTACAGTACTCACTTTCTTTGCGAACTTCCCCAAGTGTAGAAGTAAGCTCTTCTTTCAAAACTGTGGCTTCCTGAGCAATCTTCTCTCCCTTGTCTAATAAATTCCAAGTTGCTTCCTCCACAGAAGCTAGAAGGACTCTGGCTCTTTTTGAACGTCCTTTTTTCCTGTTCGAAGGGTTCTGGGGACAATTTACAAGTGTAGTAACCTAAAATTGAAAAAATACAGGTAATTTATTAGATAGTTTGTGAGGAGAATACAGGACAGTATAGCCCAGAAGAAAAGAAAGTATTTCACTATATTATTCATTCCCAGTACGACTGGTACATTCACAGGGGTCAAGTCATGGCACCAAGAGATGCATAATCAGCCATCAGTGAGTTCTCAACTAAAGATATGGACATCTAAAGACAGTGCTTTAGATATTGAATTTCATCATTCAAGAATGCTTGAAATGACTGTGTGCGTGTGTGTGTCTGCTCATTAATTACAGAAACTTCATATGGAAAAATAGAAGAGCTTGATAAAGTAGTCAAAATGGGAAAAGTGATAAATTATGTCTCAAAATTAGCAAATTAGAAAATGAAACGTATCACTTTGTAGCTAGTGACCTATATTAAGAAGGTGACAAAAATAATTTTAACTAAGTTGGTACAAATTGATCAATAATTGGTTGGTATAAGTTGGTAAACAATTTTAATAAAGTGTTAGTCTAAGACTAAGAATAGATATTATTAAAACCAAAAGGGGAAATACTGAAGCATACAAATAGGGGAACAAAGCCCAAATCCTCCAATGATTAACTTTCTTTTCCTTGTAATCTGTCTCCTCTGTACTTCTTCATCTTGTTGAGCTTCTCCAAGTCCCTCTGAGAGTCTCTTATCAAAAGGCCTTTTCGACCACCTCAATCCCCATTTTCTCTCACTCTATCATTTCATCTCATTTTATTTTGTCTAAAAACACAGGGATGGACATTTTTCTTTATTTCTTTATTTTTATTGGATGCAGCCAATACTAAAAATGTAAACTCCATGAAAGTACAATATGTATTGTTCTCCAGCAACCAGAATACTGAACATAGTAGGTGTTCAATAAATATTATGTATATGGCTTGACAGATTTGTTTAATGTCTATATTTTGAGTTGCCTGAATATGTTAATAATAAACATGCATAGCCTTTGTAAACTTATTTAAAATAAAAGCAAATTCCTCACTACAAAAAGATAAGTGAGATGACGGATGTGTTAGTTGACTCAATCATTTTACAACCTATACATGTATCAAGACATCAAAGCATACACCTTAAATATAAACAATTTTTATTCATAGATGATCCTTTAGTAAAGCTGTGGAACAAAAGAAATTAATCTTAACAAAAATAAAAACAAACTCATCAAAAGAGCATTTTATTTGAAAATTAAAATTAAGCATATGCATCTAGAAACAAAAACCTCACACAGAAGTGCTTTATGAAAAATATCAGTTTCCCAATTAAATCCCCAATAGCAAATTGAAGCATGAAAGTCCTCATTATAAAGAAAGGGAGGGGGCAGTATTTGTATCCAACGTTTAAATGAGAAGATCTGGTTCCACCAACTGCCTCACAAGCACAAGGGCCCGAGTTCGATTCCCAGTACCCCCAAAAAATAAAAAATTTATAAAGTTAAGTTAACCAAGATTGATTATGTAAAGGTACCAATTTCCAACAGTGAATGTCATTATATCGTATACATTAAATGTATCAATAAAATTAATTAAAAAAAGAAGACCTGAAACTCCTACTGAAATCAAGGTTCCAATGAAAAGTCCATGAGATGATAGGTATATTGGCTTTATTGAATCTTTCTTCAATGTATACATGGATCAAAACATTATTGCTTCCCATAATTATTATTTGTCAATTAAGATAAGCAAATTTTAGGAGGGAGGGAGGATAGGTGTTAACTAGGCTACATCTCATTAAGTAGGTGAGGCTTCTGACGCTCATGTGTCACATCTATGAGAACATAATATATAGAACCCTTCCTGGTCAGCAGCCCCTAGGGATTTTGCTTGCTGTTTATGGAGCATTAGACATTTGTTTACTCAGATATTTGGACCCACTGCTTAGCTAGGAACTAAGGATCTACAAACTACAGAGGAAATATGAGAATGAAAATGATTTTTGTCTGAACTTCTTTTCTCCTTATCCAATTACCCTCAGTTTTATTCTAATTTGCTTTGTTCCCATATTCATTACCCAGAGTGCAATACCTTATGGTAAGGTTTTATTTCCTTGCTTAGAAAATAAGAAAATCACATTATACAATAATATGATAGAAAAATTAAAAAAGGTAAAGTTTTTTTTTAATTCATAACATGACACAAATATTGGTTGGCATTTAATGTATATTTTCTAGTCTGTTCCCCACATAAATTGGTTATGGGACTCCTTGCCAAAGGTATTCTCTCTGGGCCTAATCTTACCTTGTTTCTGAAACCCCCTCATGCTAACTGTGGTTAAAGAAGTTAACAAAGAACATTCTATGTTTTACAAGCCGCTAAGTAGGATCATGTGTCTTCACATAAAGATGACGACAAGCTTGATTTATTATATGGGCTTCTACAAGCTCCAAAAATTGCATTACTGTCACTCTAATTTATATAGAGTTAAAAGAAATGTGCCCAGATTAAGACAAATTACAACACCTAGTTTAAAACTTGCTTCAAATGAAGAATAAGTATCATTGTCTGAAACATTCCTTCGGAATGTATTTTGAGTGCCACAGTTCATGACACTTCCCACTGCACATTCCTCCTCCATTGTTTGAATCTTCTATGCACCAAATGTTTTCCACCGAATAGCCTGGGCTTTAAAATTAAAATGAGCATTCCAGAAATGCTTTGTTACTTATAACAAATGCTAAAGAAATAAGAAATGTGAGAGCATTCTATAAGAACATTATACTTCCATTTTTTTAAAAAATGCAATTGCAACTGACAAGTTATTCACTTGTGCAAGTCATTTGAACATATCTTCATTTAAAATGCCCAGTATAATCATTTAGCATTGACTAAAGTGACAGTTTTTCATGATTCATTTTATTTCAGAAAGTAAATATGGGTGGGCAATCTGTGGCAAAAGAAGAAACCTAAACTTTCTTATTTTTCATCTCAACTCAGCTAGGACTATAAACTACTCCCATCAGTGGCTATGATTCACTAGAACAGATGATTCTCACCAAGGAGGTGGGGTTCATATGTTACTTGAAAAGGTCTCCCAGTGTTGAGAGAAAACCAGCAGAAGTAAATTTAACTTCCAAGTTATTCTGTAAAATAATTCATATTTCTTTTTTCACAGAAAATATACTCTATTTTTATAAGGAACTCAGGCTTTAATTTTGAACCTACAGCAGAGATGATTCTAATAAAAAATCCAAGCTTATGTTTTACTAACTTTACATTTTGTCACTGATATATAATATTCCCCTTTCTCTGTTTTTCAAAAATTAAAGGTCCTCTCATGGAAAATCTCCAGGCTTTCAGTTTGAGTTTCAGTTTGCTGACTTTCCTTTAGTCTATAAATCTGTGCTAGGCTATACACACCTTCAGCAAAAATACAGGAAAAAACTCCTCACTCAAATGGGGTTAAATTAGAGGTTTCAAGTAATATGAAGAGAACAGAAATTCCCAATTTTAAGTTTAAAATTCCAAAAAAGCATTTGTATTTTAAATTATTTACAATATTTATATTTTCAAATTTAGAATTCAAAAGGTGTTTTTTTTCATCTTTTCTAATTCAGGTGTGCTTCTCTAGGTTCTCCAAAGATACTAAAAACCAAACTGATGTGCTTAGTAAACCAAGCCTTCAACTGTTGTTATACAGAGCCATGCTGACTGACACACAATAGGAACACTGCAGACGTGACATGGGGTTGTGATTTACTTTCATTTTTGCATCAGTGCAACGATTGCTTTAGCAACTCAGATACTAGCTTTGTAGAAAGTTTGTAATACTAACTTGGATAAGACATTTATATTCTATAACCATGTTCTTTCCCAAATTAATTCTACTTTTTCTTTTACTTCTTCATTGTGGTGACAACCATGTTAACAGCTATGTCTTCAGGCGGAAACTCAAAGGTCATCTGGGCTCTTCCCCGTCTCTCATCTTTGTCTCCCAGGCCTTATCATCCACAGCACAGAAACAGGGCCTCAATCTCTGCCTGTCAACTAATCTTTTTTTTTTTTTTTTTTTTTTTTTTTTTTTTTTTTTTTTTTTTTTATTTTTTTTTTTTTTTAGTTTATTGGTACTTTTTAGGTATACAGTACAGTTCCATTCATCATTGGTATCTTGTGCCTTTACATGTCAAATCTTGGTTCTCATTTTTCCCCCTACCCCTGCCCTCCCTTCACCCTCTCCAACCTCCCCTAGTTACAAAGACTTTGTTTCCATTTTTTCCTTTTCTTGCATTTTTTTCTTGTCCCTATTTCCTTTCCCCTACCCTTCCCACTTCCCCTTCATATTGTTATTTCTTTAAAGTGTGAGAGAATTCTGGCTCCTGTTGAGTCTTCCACAGAGAGGCTGTGAAGAAGTCACTACTTCCACAACAGTTCCATACTCCTGATAGGAGGCACCACTTTCAAGTCAGACTTTACTGACACACCAGCAATAGCTTAAAACTTACCAGTAGTCTTCTGCTGCCTACAAGATAAGTCCAAATATTAGCAGGGTTTATGAAGCAATCTCTACTCTTACTCCTGATTCAATTTTCACTCTCATCTTCCATTTGTGTAATTTGACCACAAACTACTTGGACACAGAATAGAAAACATTTGCAATCTCAACCTAGAATGCCTTTTTCCACTCATAGATGCTTCATGTCATTAATTAAAGTGTCACATAATTAGCCATTAACATACTGCTCTTTCAGCTGTACTGTAACATGGTTTTAGAGGCTGCTTTTGCCAAAAGCAATAACTCTTCACTTGGCCCTGCAAATGTTGGATGAGTAATTAAAAGCTCAGCAACAATACCTTAATTCTGTATCAGTCTCCTTTTTTACCTGAAACTTTGGGTCAGATTTCTGCTCAGTTCTGCAATGTAGACATATTATTCACTCAAGGAGTGTCTGTCTGAAAATATGAGGCTAATTAGCCTTAAATTTATCTAACCTCCCTTCTCCCACTTCAAGACTAAAGACACCAAGGTAACAATAAAATATTTT